AGCTGGCTCCGTGTGTCCCAGCCGAGGATGTCAGACCCCGCTGGCTCTGGGCAGCACATCCCAGCCGGCTGCCCGTGTTCTCCCAGCAGCAGGAAATGCAGGATGTTCCCAAAGCCCGCCCTCACAATGGGGAATTGCTCCAAGGGTCTTGCAGGAACTCTTCCAAACCCTCAGCCCGAGCAGCAAACCTGACACCACCTCTTGGGCTGGACAGCCAGTGGTTGGACTCACTGAAAGCTCCAGGGCAATGCAGGGATGAGCGCCCCATGGCCCAGGGGTTCTGGGCTGTCCAGCTGGAGGTGGTGGCAGCTGGGAAGGGAGGAGATAGAGCCAAGCAGATCTTGCCCAGTCTCCTCTCCACACCATGAAATGTCCACAGGGTTCAGTCCCAAGGAGCACAAAGCTCTTGGAGCAGCAGCTTGGAGTTCCAACCCCTCTGAGGTCCATTCTACTGATCGGTGTGAAAATTCCTTCCAGATACCAAAGGAACACCAAGAACTCCCTGGGTTTGGGATTTCCTATTTGTTTCTAAGTTCATTTTTAGACAACATTATTTCATCCTCCATCCATATTATCCCAATAGTTGCAAAGAATCCAATATTACCAATATATTAAATCCTATTTTAATGTGGGTGTTGTAATTCAGTGTGAGCAGGGGCAGCTGAGGGCCAGCAAGATCTGGCTTGGAGCACGGGGCTGTGAGAAGTTCCGCTGCTGCAAGGACAGTCGTTAGGAGTTCCAGGCCCCAAAGCATCACTAAGGGTGGACTGAAGTGAGAAAACAAGAAGGATGGGACTTCATAACCTGAAGTTGTAATTGGACAATGAACCCCAAGATGCAGATGGACCAAACTTATAAAAATGTCAGCCCTTGTGACCAGTCATCCATTTTGTGACCCTTTTTGGGTCCATCTTGGGTGTAGCCCTGGCCAGCCTCCTGTTCTGCCCATGGTGTTTCCCTTCATACTTTCAATAAATCCCTGCTTTACTCTGAACTGTGTCTAGCCTCTGTTGTTGGTCGTCCTTCTCAAGGCATCAGTGCCAGGGCTTCTCCTCGGCCTTGTGCGAGCGGAGCTGCCTGGAACCCCCCTGGAAAGGGCCCTGGGCTGGGGACAGGGGCTGAGGAGCAAAGAGAGACGAGAGCCGGGTGAACATTGCAATGCAAGCCAGTTTTTATTGTCGTGCGAGGGTGGGAGGGGATCAGCAGGAGAGCAGGGCCCAGGCTGAGGGCTCCCCGCATCTCCTGGCCATGGACAGAGCCCGGTGCAACCCAGGCCGAGCCACGGGAGCCGGAGCCGAGCTGGGTCCGTGCTGGGAGCGGGCAGCGATTCCTGAAGGGATCCGAGCAGAGCACGAAGGCGGCAGAGCTGGGCCCCGGGCAGGCCGGTGGTGTCGCAGGCCTGGTGGCCGGCAGGGCCCGAGGGATGTCCTTGCTTCAGGCGGTGGCGAGCGGGGATGGGCAAGGGGTGATCATGGAGCTGTGCTGGGGCTGGGGTCGCACTCGGGCTGGGGCTTAGCAAGATCCACAGCCTCTGTAGCCACCACAGCTGCCCCCATAACCTCCATAGCCCCCAGAGCCTCCATAACATCCCCAGGCCCCAGAGCCCCCATAGCCACCATAGCCTCCATAGCCTCCATAACCCCCATAGCCCCCATGGCCTCCGTAGCCCCCACGGCGTCCACCGAAGCCACCGGAGCCGCCTCCAACGAAGGGAGCTCCTGCAGAGCCCACGGAGCTGTGCTGCGGGAAGGAGCTCAGGATGGGCCCGGGGAAGGTGACCACCGAGGCCGGAGGCTGGATGACCACCGTGGAGTCAGGGCACTGCCTCACACAGGGCTCGTTGCAGGTGTCAGCCAGAGGGCAAGTGGAGGCCAGACAGGAGGGAGAACACAGGCTGGAGCAGGACATGGTTCCGACAGGTAAAGGTTTCTGGAAAAAAGAAGAGGTAGAAGTGGAAGAGGCAATGGTGTGCAGAAGGAGTTGTGTTGAGAGGCAGAGAGAGATCCCCAAGAGGCTTTGGAGAGCTGCACTTACCCTGGTGAAGAGAGGAGTCAAGTGGATGGATGCGGATGGAACTCTGCAAGGAGCTCAGGTCTTTTATACACCCCAGAGTGCCTGGGGCATTGTCCAGGAGGAGGGGGCAGACCCCCCCTCCCAATAATTTGGAATTCACGCTGACAAGCTTCATAATGTGAAGGGACGCCTGAAAATTCTGTCATCCCCCCATTGTGGACAATGGCCTGGACATGAGTGGACAAGAGTGGACAAGAGTGAGGCGCTTACAAGGACAGCTGTGGCTCATCATTACGTGACAGACACGGTGCTGCTGGAGCTCAGCTCACAGCCCCAATAAACCCTGATTTGTCCCTAATCCCTCACTTTGCTTACAGAGAAGAATTCCAGGCATCTTGCACTAGCTCTTTGAAACGCTGCCCCAGCCATCACCCCTGTCATTACCTGCCTTTTACGGGCTGGTAAACAGAGGCAGCGGCAGCTTGGGCAAAAGGAGAAGCCACTCTCGGGGTGTTCTCCAAATCCCACCAACTCCCAGTGCCAGCACAAGATGTTCATCCCCAGCTCTTGGGCAGCCCTGACACCTCAGTGAATTATCCCCTCTAAGGTTCTGGAGAACATTGGGATTTCCACATCCCAGTTTCCCTTGATGGCCACACATAGAGCAGAGGGGCAGATCGCACCTGTGGACAACCCCCAAAGCCACAGGGAAGGGGAGAGCGGTGGGACAGAGCTCGGGACAGCTGTGACAGAGGGGACACAACGGGAGAGTGGTGGGACAACAGTGGGACCGGGTCCCTGTGGCTCCTCCAGCCCCATGGCTGGGAGCCGGGAGCTGCCTGAGCCCTCCTGGAGGGCCTGGGTTGCCCAGCTGGCCCCGAGGGCTGGGCCAGGGGGTGTTGGCCGAGCCCCCCAGAGCCAGGCTGGCCCTGGCTGTGACCCAGGACAGGCCCAGCTGGGCACTGCTGGCTCATGGGCACAGCCAGGCTGAGGCTCAGGATGGCAGGGCTGGGCACGGCCGCATCCCAAAAGATTCTCGGAATTCTTTGTCAGCAAAGCAAGGGATCAGACACAAGGCAGGGTTTATTGGGGCTGTGAGCTGAGCTCCAGCAGCACCGTGTCTGTCATGTAATGATGGGCCATGGCTGTCCCTACAAGAGCCTCCCATCGGTCCAGGACACGTTTCCACACCAATATCTCCAATACGGGAATGACAAGGAACTCTCCACCATCATTACCTTTGTCATTTAATTTCTCTGCTTGAATTACTAATTACTGGGGGTTTGCCCCCGCCCCCTGGCCCATGCCTCAGGCACTCTGGGCTGTATAAAAGGTCCAAGGGCTCCACAGGTTGCCATCCAGCTCTCT